CATCGTCAGCCATGGTAGAAGCCAGGAGCCCAGCTCCCTTGTGGATGTCAGGGCTCTAAATACTTGAATCTCCTCTGCTTGTTTCCAGGCACAGTGCCAGGAAGCTGGATTGGAAATGGAGTAGCTAGAACTCAGACTGGGACTCTGATGTGGGATGTGGGTGTCACAAGTGGTGGTTTTAGCTGCCATCTCTCAATGCTCACCCTTGGTTTCAAGTTCTGTTTTCTATGAGCTGTTTGAAGTGACTTATATTAGTAAAACTTTCTATTAAGATTATTCTTATTGGGCTTGAAAACTGGATATATTGCCAGAGATTGGGTTAAAGAGTTGAGAGTTTAAATATCTATCTACAAAAATATCTACCAACATTTATTTAGGCTTCCTTCATAGTGAAAGCCGTTGTGAAAGCCGTATCAGTCATGGTGCTTTTCATCCCTTATTAAGAAAATTACAAGGAATACTTTAACTCTTCAGTAATCCATTGATTATAATCTCTAGCTTGGAAACCACTACATATTTTGTGGTTTATTAAAAAGGAATTCATAACTCTGTTCTAAATTTTCACAAAGTCCACTTCAGTTTGGAGCCAGAAGATGCTCTGTTTTGTTTTAAAAAGCCAGGGCCAGGAGACGGGATGGTCTAGGGGGGACTTGTTTATTGCTTGTCATCATTTCTAGTTACAGACCTATTGGCTTCTTAGACATCTCAGATGTAGTTTATGTACTGTTTCTTTTTGACGAATGGCACAGCTTGAATTTTCAGGCCAATAATTTATGTAAGTTGCAGCTGTACTTACAACTGATTACTCTTCTGATATTTTTCTAATAATTTTATAGAAACAAATTAGGGCTAACATTTTTGTTTACAGCTTCAATTTTTGGTTAGTCCTTTAATCAATATGCAGGAATCCATTATGAGCTAAACTCTATATCTTAATAAAAGCCTGCAATTTGCCGATGATTATATGTGGCATTTAATATTGCTGTAAGAGCCATAGTCAGTAGAGTGGCAGTTTGACAGTTCTAAGTGCAAGAATATGTTCCAGATATTTAAACCGTAATTTAAGAAACTGATATTCTTTTTGGATGGGTTTAGATGAGCTAAATTTACTTTCATCATCTTTGTTTTCTTATAAAGAACTGAAAAGAGAACTTTTTCCCATATGTAAATGATATAATATTATTGTCTTGAGCTGGAATTACCATATTAGACAACTGGATCATGATCGAATATGCTAGTTTATATATTCTTAGTCACAAAGCCCTAACTCAGTTCACATGCTGGCTGCTACATTAATTTGCCTTTCGAAGTATTAAAGAGGGCCAGGTGCAATGGCTTGGTTTGCTAATCCTCCTGCTGCTAGTGCCAGGATCCCATAGGGTCCAGGTTTGTGTCCCAGGTGCTCCACTTTCCATTCATCTCCTTGCTTGTGGCCTGGTAAAGTGGTAGATGATGGCTTAAGAGTCCTTGGAGCCGTGTACCCGTGCAGGAGACCTGGAAGAAGCTCCTGGCTTCAAACAGCTCAGGTCTGGTCATTGTGGCTACTTGGAGAATGAGCCAGTAAATGGAAGGTCCTTGTGTCTCTCCTTCTCATTTTCAATAAAAACCTGCTTTTTTCAATAAAAATAAATAAATCTTTAAAAAGAAGTAATAAAGATATGGCTGCATAGGGGATAAAATGAGATAATGTGAAATAATATGGAGTGCTTGAGTCACTGAACATAGATGTGGTGGAATGTTAGGATTTCTGACTGAGGCTAGAAAGATATAATAGAAGTAACATTCCAAATCCAGAACCCCACACTCAGAGTTTACAGAGAAACTGGTCCCAGGTAGGTATTACTGTCCTTGTATTTCCCAGCTTCTTAATGATAGTAAAAGAGTACAAGGACTTGAAAGGAGGAATGATTCTGTGAAATGGTGCTTTTAGAAAAAAGGCACTGTGTGCCCCCTGGGACAGCGAATGGGACCCCAATCATTGTGAGAAGGAGCTTCATTCAGGAAAGTCACTCCACAAGCTTGCTATCTTCCTTTTGCAGTTGAGAGGACAGCACAGAGGTGCCCCAAACAGGTGGGAAAGGTTACTGTAGCCTGTGGTGACAATGATAGATACTGAGTTCTCCTCCCAATATTTGTCAGGGGAAGGGATATGTGAATATTGTCTCAGGACTATGAATGGGCCTAATGCATGAGCTACTGTTCTGTAGATGAAGAGTTTGGAGAGTTTTAGGCTCTGCCAAGGGGGCTTCTGCCAGAGGATGAGGGGAAACCTCTAGGAAAATGGGTGTATGGTAAACTGCTGAAAAATGGATGCTAAGAGGCTGCTACTGGGTGCAGGCAGTTAAGGAAACACCTGTGGTTTAGAACTTCAGTGCAAGATTCTGCAGCAAGATGCTGCAAGGCATCTACGGGAGTGTCCAAGTGAGGAGTCACTTTGAATGCTGTCCAGCTGCTGAGAACTCAAAACTGCCACCTACGTATGACATTCCCACACTCCTTACTTCTCCTCTTTGTGTTCCTATCCTGGATGCCCAGAATCCAGATAGAAGGGGAGTGGGAAGCAGGATCTCTGGGTAGAGAAACAGAGGAAATCTGCATACCACCTTTTCCACTGCTGCCTTTCAGCTGGAATGAGGCCTGGACTGAACAAGGCCTGACTGGGAGATGATTTGACATTTAATTAAGTTGAAGAGCATTTTTGGTTAATATGTTACTTCTAAGTTTGAAACAAGACTGAGTCATTTTAAGTAAAGTGGGACTTTCTGCTACCTAAGGGTGAGCAGAAAAGTTTTACGGAATCTCTCATCCAGCGGTGGGGCCGTATTATCTCCGCTGAATACACATTTAAAAGGACTGGGAGGAAAATAACAAGTATTGATTAAATTCACAGCTGTACCTGTCTGTTACATTGGTTACATTATTGTTGGTGATGCTTTCACTTACAGGCTCTCTTCAAATTCAGCATTCTACATCTGAAGTCTTCATTTTTGTTTGATGTTCTTCTGATGTTTCCTGGCTTAGGACAAATACTTCTGCAACACAAGTTAACTGGTTATTTAGAAGGAAATTTTGTAAGCGAGTTTCTCAGATTACATATCAGCATATGAATTTTTTATGTTAGTGTTCCATGATTATTGATAACATTTATATCCAAGATGAAAACTAGGAGAAATTTACCTCAACAACTTTCTAGATAGAAATAATCCAACATTTACTGTGATGTAGCAGCTTGGGGTTATGGTCTTTATTTGTTTATGTATTAGAACAGATGGCTCTTTAGTATTTTAAATTCATGTGATACTTATAGTAAAAGTGTATAATTTGCAAGAGTCTAATTGAATATACGCAAAGTGACTACACTCAGAACCTCTAAAAGCAGCAGAATATTGTAACACCCTGTTTACTGTCTAACCCCTATCAATCATTTTGTTTGATTTTTAAGCTTCCTTAGTAGTAGAATAGTTTGTGAGATTTACTCATGTTAGTTGTAGATTAAATTTGTAAATTTGTATAGTGTGTGGGAAGTTACTTCCTTGTCAGCACTTGCTATTGTCAGTCTATCAGCTGTTCTAGTGTGTGCTGATTACTTTGTAAGGAAAATCTTACCCGAAACCTCAGGACACCTTGCTGCAAGGAGAGGTCTTCTGCTCGGTCTTTTCTGATTTCACAAGCACATTGCTGTAGCTGAGCTGAGTATTGAAGCATCAGGCTTTGCATTTAGAAGGAACTCAGAATGGTTATGTTTGTGGTGATTGCAGCTCAGTGCTTACCAATACCTTTGATAAATGGCTTGGCTGGCTCCAGGGGCTTATCTTCACTTTGTGCATCAAGATGTTTTCCACTGGGTTGCTCCCAATCTGGGGCAAAGATTCTGCACATAAACTCCAAGCAGTTAAAAGAAAAAATAAAGGAACCACAACAAAACTCTTCCTGCCTTCCTGTCACAGGTCTTGGAATTTAGGCTCTTAGGCTCTGATTGCTCTGCCTTCTCTTCCTCAGCTCAGGTTGGGCACCAGTTCCCTACTTTAGAGGAACAGTGATTCTCTGAAGAGTGAAGCAGTTTTAACAGAAGGAACAGTACCTGGTGGATGGCAGTAGTAACAAAATGTCCACTATAAGCCAGGCAACTTAAACTGATGCAGTCTAGGGGTCAGCACCATTGAGTAGGAGGTTTAGTCTTCAGCTGTAGTGCTGACATCCCATATTGATTTGTGTCCTGGCTGCTGCATTTCTGTTCCAGGACCTTATGGCTTGGGAAAGCAGTAGAGGATGGCTGAAGTTTCTGGGTTCCTGCACCCAGGTTTGAGACCTGGAATAAACTCCTACCTCCTGGATTTGTGTCAGCCCAGTTCTGGCTGTTATGGCCATTTGGGGAATGAATCAGCAGATGGAAAATTACTCTGTCTCTCTTTCTCTTGTTAATTCTGCCTTTCAAATTATAAAAGAAAATGCAGTTTAGTTATTCCAGTAAATTCTACAAGATTTATGCTTGAATTAAATAGTACCATTTTAGGCTCTGTGTAATTGCTTCTGGTGAGCTGTGCTAGATCAGATATTCTGTTACAACTTACACTGAAGAATGGGATCATGGCTTCTTTGTGGAATTCTTTGCATTGTTGTAAGAAGATATGGTTCGCTTTATTTCAGGTTTTTCATCATAGTATTCCATGTTAGAAATATCTCCCTGTCTCTGTGATTTTATGGTGTGGACAATGTGGTTGTAGAAACTGATCATTTCATGCTTTGCATTTCCAGACCTCAAAGTTTAGATTTTCTTTTTTCTGTATTGATATCACTAAACCTGTGTGACAATGGCATTGGTGCCTTTGTGTGTGCTACATATATTTTGCGAACTTCCTTAGGTCTTTTCTGACACAGAATTGAGCAATACACAGAATTTGTGAAGATCTGATTCCTTGTATTGAGAGTATCACCACAGCGTAAGTCAATTTGCTTAGCTTTCAGATGAAATTATCAACAGGATTGATTTTGTTTTCTAGTTTTATATGAAGGAGATGTGAAACACTACCGAATTAGAAGACTGGATGAAGGAGGTTTTTTCTTTACGAAGAGAGTGACCTTTTCAACACTGAATGAGCTTGTAAGCCACTATTCCAGGGCAAGTGATGGCTTGTGTGTCACACTGGGAAACCCATGCTTAAAGGTGAGATGGCTTCAAGCTGTGTCCATTTATCTTTGAGGGTAACCTTTTCCCTCCAGATGTTCAACTACTTTTCATGTGCAGTAAGTTCAGAAAAATAATGTCATTGGATTATCTAAGGCAGGGAGAGGCATGCTATCAATGCTGTTTGATGGTGGTTTTTGTAAGTAAGTTTTATCAGAACAGATTTATTCATGGATTCACTATTTCTGGCTGCTTTGATATAATACTGGAGTTTTGTGATTTCTGCAGAAACAGTATTACAGTTCATTAAGTAGACTATAAACTCTGGGAAGGTAGAAACCTACCTGATTTGTTTGGAAAATAACATTTATTTAACATTTAAAAATATTTATTTACTAAATGAGTGAATAAGGAAATGAAAAAAAATGAAGCTTGCAGAAGGCAACATAATTATACAAAAATGTGATATATAATAAAGAGTTGTGGAAGAGTTTGTGAATGATGTGTGACTTTTCAACTGGTCTTTGAAATTAGGATAAATTAGTAAGACCAGAGCAGTAAGACTCCTGTGTTGGTACGATAGATGAATATTGAGGTACCTAATGTAATATGGAGAAGATCAGCCAGAAGAAACCACAGTTCAGATTTTGCCATATCTGGTTTCCATTTTAAGGTAATTAGAATGCAATTCAGTATATTTTGCTTTTAATAACCTTATTTATTTCCTTTAAAGAGTAACCAGGCTATTATTTTCAGCAAAGATAACGATCTACCCAATTTTCTTAGAAGTATTTTTGTTTTTCTGTGAAACAGGTACAAGTTCCAGCTCCTTTTGGTTTGTCCTATAAAACTGTGGACCAATGGGAAATAGATCGCAACTCAGTGCAGCTTCTGAAGCGATTGGGATCCGGTCAGTTTGGTGAAGTGTGGGAAGGCCTATGGAACAATACCACTCCAGTTGCAGTGAAAACTTTAAAACCAGGTGCGAAGTATGAAACATTAACATTTATGAGCTCAGCCTACCACTATTAACACCCGAGAAACCAGAGAATGGCCAATGGTGGAAGTAAGCAGGTGTTGTTCTCTGTAAACAGGTGGCCATAATCTGTGAACCTGCTTTAAAATATAAAGAACATGTTCCCTGGATCAACTCTGTCCTAAAATGCCCATAACAGTTTTGGAAGTGAATTTCTTTTCTATGGTTAGAATTCAGTCTTCCAATGTCCTTCTCTCCTGCTGTGCATCATTGCAGTTTAAAAATGTTGACTTAATGGTTTTAAAAAATAGGTTGGAACCTTGGAGCTATTCAGTGAATAACTATTAAATATGACTATGTATGGTTAAGAGGCAAAATGATAGTTGTGATTAAGAAGAAAATAAATTGTAATTTTTCTTTTCAACTTACCTGTATTACTTTTTTTACATGGCTAGAAAGTTATTAGACTAAATGCTTTTCAATTTGTTTGTATTTAACCAGATAATCAATAGAACTATTAGGTATTCATTCTGGCTCAGAGATGTTATGAAATGAGTTACCGAAACAATGATAATGTTGGGGTCAACAAGCATACTATTTAAGGGCATTAACATTGGTGTGAGATAAACCTAAATAAAATTTTCACTATGTCTTCTGTGACTTTGGAAAGTTTATTAATCTTTTCATTTGAAAGTCAAAATTATAAGTTCCCGTTTTATAGAATTTTAGAACAAACTGGATCAAGGCACATAAAGTAGATGTTAGCTTCCACGGAGTTGCTAACAGATGGCCCCAATGATGTGCAAATTTGCTAGCACAGAGTTCAGTCTCAACATTTACACCTGCCAGATGAAACAACAGAGATGCAGTTTTAAGTGGCCAAGTGAGTATTGCGGATGAGGACAATCTGTTCCAGCACCTGAAGTTTTCCCAGTCACTATGTATGTTTGTTTTTAAATCTTAATATTATCAAAAATTGCAGGTAAAATAAATTATCTAATCTAATCATTCTTTTCAAAAGAAGAAATGGTTAACTATCCTAGCATTGTACTCCAAGGAAGGCCTTCTGGAGGTCAAAACAAAACAAAACAAAAATCAGATTTCTTATATATAAAAAGCAATAGTAGTTTTCTCTCTTAGAGAAATAATTATTATTGATTTAAAGTGTAATAGCAGCAAACTGCTTCAGTGATTGGCTAAATGTCTTCACTTCACTGGGGCCATTAATCAATCTTAGCAGCTATTTATTGCTGAGCAGACTACCACACAATAAAGATGAAGCTGAAATCAACTCCAGCAGTAGCTTTGACAGGCAAAAATTAATATTTAATATTGCATTGCTAGTTGAGTTGAGATTAGGTCCCCTTTGCTCTGTGGCTGGTCAGCAGTAACTCTTAGCTATTTTCAGCACAAACTCAAGATTACAGGCATCATGAGTGAGCCACGGGAGAGGTTCTTTATTTTGGTGGGGTTGGTAGCCACAGGGCAGGGATAAAGTGGAGGCAGAGAAAAACGGACAGAGAGCTAGAAAGAAAAGAGAAGGTCAGAGGGAGAGAGAGAGAGGGCAAAGAGCAAAGGCATCTGTATAGCCTTGAGGTGGAGTGTGGGGAGTGCAGGTATGGGACTGGCAGATGCAGCTGTAGGTGGACATCAGGGATTAATGCCTCAGGGGATTGGTAGAACAGGGCTTCAGGTATGGGAACCATAAAGTATAGGGATTGGTGGAGAGCATGGTTTATACCTAAAGGGTTTGAAGCTCACGTAGGCAAGTGAGTCTTAAAGGAACAGAGACCTAGGGCATTAACGGTAGTGCTGGGTAAGCAGGTATTCAATGTGGCACTGAGTCCAAGAATGGTGGGGTCAGTCTTGGTGCTGTTGTTCCAGTCACTCCTTACAGTAACCAGTGCGCTCTGAGCAGCCATTAAGGAGTGCTCTGAGCAGCCTACATCTATGGAGACGCCTGACATACCATAATTTTGGCTTTTGTGGAAAGTCTGATCTGGGAATGATTTGAGTATCTTGCATTTTATTAAGTAGACGGCAATGCAAATCATTAACATATAGGTATATGGTATACATGAATTGTCTGAATGATTATCATAATCAATACTGAATCATATTCCTTATGGTGGATGTATATGGTGGATGCATATGGAAGTCATGTTATATCCACATCTGACCACTTGCCAAACTTATAATCACCAAGAACAAAACCATTATCATGTTGAGGTACATCTTAGCTCTGGTTTGCCACTATGATTCCAAATTTTAGTCATTTTGATTATGTGGAGTAAATAAATGGAAAATATAGAGTTGAGGTAGCCCAGGAAAATGATATGGAAAAAAGGATGGGAAATTTTCCCTCTTTACATGCTTGCCCCTTTTCTTCCTCGGCCTCTGGAAAAAAATACATGTAGCTGGCCAATGTGTTTGTATAGACTATTCATATTAATAATAATAATAACGATTGGTAAACACTGAATAAATATGTTTTGATGTTAGTATGGCCGTTAGTTACATTTTACATATGAAAAAACTAAAGTTCAGAGAGATCTGGTAACTCACTCATGAGCACACAGGGAGCTGGTGGCAGAGCTGATTTGTCTATAATCCAGAGTTTGATTAGGCCTGGATAGACTGCCTAAATGTTTCATGCACAAGGATATGCAGGTCACATGTAACTCTTTTTAACTTCACATTGATAAGCAAGTCACACCAGCTTTAGAATGTCAAAGTTTGTCCATGACAGGTTCAAATACCAGTCATGAGATGTTTTTTTTTTTTGTTTTTTGTTTTTTTTTTTTTATTGTTGCTTACATTATATTATGTAGTACAGTTTTATAGGCGCTGGGGATCCCCCCCACCCCTCCCATACCCCTTCCCCCATGGTGGATTCCTCCACCTTGTTGCATAACCATAGTTCAAGTTCAGTTGAGATTCATTGCTTGCAAACACATGCCTAGCATAAAGTTCAGCGTCTTATTGTCCAGATAAGTTCAGTGGCCTCTTGGGGAGACCTTCTATGGTCTGAAGATAGGTCTAACAGAGTAAAGATCCAGTCAGTTAAAAGCCCCAACAAGGCCTCAGTATCATTATACAACATTATGGAATTAATTGACATAGTATTGGGTAAACAATATGTTAAAAATAATGCAAGTTCCATTCTTCGAAACATCTGGGTTGAGACAGTATCAATGACAGGTTCAAAAAATAACAAACAACCAAACAAAAAATTACAGGTTAAATCAAGGCAAACATGTGGTATCTAATCTTTTGGGATTCGCTCATTTCCCTTAGCATTATAGTTTCCAGTTGTGCCCATTTAGCCACAAAGAACTGCATTTTGTTTTTTTTAATAGCTGAGTAGTATTCCATGGAGTAGATGAACCAAAGCTTTCTTATCCAATCTTCTGCTGATGGGCATTTCGGTTGCTTCCATGTTTTCGCAATTACTGATTGTGCTGCAATGAACATAGGGGTGCATGTTGGTTTGTCGTAAAACAGGTGTTTTGGATATATTCCTAGGAGTGCTATTGCTGGGTCATATGGTATGCAGATTTTGAGTTGTTTGAGTGTTCTCCAGACTGATTTCCATAAAGGCTGTACCAATTTGCAGCTCCACCAGCAGTGGAGTAGGGTTCCCTTTTCCCCGCATCCTCGCCAGCAAGCGTCGTTGGTGTTCTTGTTTATGTGGGCCAATCTTACTGGTGTTAGGTGGTACCTCATCGATGTTTTAATTTGGATTTCCCTTATTGCTAGGGAGCTGGAACATTTTTTCATATGTTTGTTTGCCATTTGGACTTGTTCCTTTGTGAAATGTTTGCCCATTTCCCGTGCCCATTTCTTGAGTGGCTTGTTTGTTTTGGTTTTTTGGTTGTTTTGAAGTTCTTTGTATATCCTGGAAATTAGCCCCCTATCGCCTATATCGTGTGCAAAGATCTTCTCCCACTCTGTGGGTTGCTTTTTTACTTTGTTGATTGTTTCCCTTGCTGTACAGAAGCTTCTTAGTTTGATGAGGTCCCATTTGTTTATTCTGTTCTCAACTGCTATTGCTTTTGGTGTCCTTCTTAGAAAGTCGGTACCTACTCCTAGGTCTTGCAGGGTATTTCCTACATTTTCTTGCAAGAGTTTGAAGGTTTCTGGATGTAGGTTTAGGTCTTTTATCCATGTAGATTGGATCTTAGTGTATGGTGATAGATGTGGGTCTATCTTTTTGTTTCTACAGGCTATCAGCCAGTTGTCCCAACAACATTTACTAAAGAGGCCTTCCCACTTGCTTAAGCTGTCATTGGTCTTTTTGTCAAAGATTAATTGGCTGTATCTGTGTGGATTCCCTTTTGGTGTTTCTATTCTATTCCATTGATCTTCCTTTCTGTCTTTGTGCCAGTACCAGGCTGTTTTGATAACCACTGCTCTATAGTATGTCCAGAGGTCCGGGATTGTGATTCCCCCTGCTAATTTCTTATTTTTCAGGATGGTTCTAGCTATTCGTGTTTTTTTGTGTTTCCAGATGAACTTTTGAATCATTGTATCCAGTTCCGTGAAGAATGTTTTGGGCAATTTGATTGGAATTGCGTTGAAAATGTATATTGCTTGTGGTAATATAGACATTTTAATGATATTGATTTTGCCTATCCAGGAGCACGGGATGTTATTCCATCTTTTGAGGTTTTGTTCAATTTCCTTTTTAAATAGTTTGTAGTTTTCTTCGAATAGGTCTCCTACACTTTTGGTTAGATTTATTCCCAAATACTTCATACTTCTCTCTGCTATTTTGAATGGTATCCTGTTGGTTAGATCTTCTTCCATCTTGGTGTTATTTGCGTACACTATGGCTGTTGATTTTCGTTCGTTAATTTTGTACCCCGCCACTCTGCCAAACTCTCGTATAAGTTCTAGCAGTTTCTGTATTGAGTCTCCTGGTTTTTCTATGTATAGGATTATGTCATCTGCATATAGTGAAAGCTTGACTTCTTCGTTTCCTATACGTATGCCTTTGATTTCTTTTTCTTGTCTTATGGCCTCTGCAAGTACCTCTAGGACTATGTTGAATAGCAGTGGTGATAGTGGGCACCCTTGTCTTGTTCCAGATCTCAGTGGGAAGGGTTCTAGCTTTTCTCCATTCAGTATGATACTGGCGTTGGGTTTTTCATAAATTGCTTTAATTATGTTGTGGATTTTCCCATCTATGCCTACTTTGGCTAGAGTTTTTAGCATGAAGAGGTGTTGGATTTTGTCGAAAGCTTTTTCTGCATCTATTGAAACTATTATGTGGTTCTTGTTTTGCAGTTTTTGGATATGGTTTATAACATTTATGGATTTCCGAATGTTGAACCATCCCTGCATTCCAGGGATGAATCCTACTTGATCCGGATGAATGATCTGTCTGATGATTTTTTGAATTCTATTGGCTAGGATTTTGTTGAGAATTTTAGCATCAATGTTCATCAGAGAAATAGGTCTGTAGTTTTCCTTCTCTGATGGTTCTCTATCCAGTTTTGGGATTAAGGTGATGTTGGCTTCATAGAATGAGTTTGGGAGGGTTGCTTCCTCCTCTATTGTTTTGAAGAGCTTGTAGAGGATTGGGGTTAGTTCTGTTCGGAATGTTTTGTAGAATTCTGTAGTGAAGCCGTCTGGGCCTGGGCTTTTTTTCGTTGGGAGATCCTTGATGACTGTTTCAATCTCTACCTCGGTTATGGGTTTATTTAATTCTGCAGTTGCCTCCGGACTGAGTTTTGGTAAATGGTGGGAGTCCAAGAACTTTTCTATTTCTTGGTGGTCCTCAAACTTGTGGGAGTACAGTTCTTTGTAGTAGTTTCTAATTATTTTCTTGATGATTGCAGTGTCTGTTGTTATGTTGCCTTTTTCATCTTTAATGCTGTTGATTCTCACTTTCTCTTGTTTTTTTTTGGTCAATCGGGCCAGTGGAGTGTCTATTTTGTTTATTTTCTCAAAAAAACAACTTTTTGATTTGTTGATTTTATGTATAGTTTTTTTGATTTCTATTTGGTTTATCTCCTCCCTTGTTTTGATGATTTCTTGTTTCCTATTGTGCGTGGGACTCTTCTGCTGCTGTTTTTCCAGATCCTGGAGGTGTGTGGTTAGTTCCTGTATTTGGCGTCTTTCTTGGGCCTTGACATGCGCTCCGATTGCGATGAATCTACCTCGTAGCACTGCTTTGGCGGTGTCCCACAAGTTTTGGAATGTAGTATCAGAGTTTTCATTGGTTTCCATGAATTTTTTGATCTCATCTTTAATTTCTTCTCTGACCCATTGTTCGTTTAATAGCATATTGTTCAATTTCCAAGAGTGCCTATACTTCCTGGGGAGTTTTGAGTTGTTGATTTCCAGTTTCATCCCATGGTGGTCTGAGAGGGTACATGGTATGATACTAATGTTTTGGAAGTTGTTTAGATTCGCTTTATGTCCTATCATGTGGTCGATTCTGGAGAAGGTGCCATGCACCGCTGAGAAGAATGTATAGTCTGTGGCCTTAGGATAAAAAGTTCTATATATGTCTACTAAGTCCAGTTGTTCTATTGTTTGTGTGAGCTCTGTTGTTTCTTTGTTGAGTTTTTGTTTCGTAGACCGGTCCATTGTTGTTAGAGGTGTGTTGAGAAAGTCATGAGATGTTTAACATGGAGAGGATGATGGATGGGATGATCTCTCTGAGCATCAGTGGGAAACAGACCTGCATTATCTGTTGTGAATACTAACACATGTAATGACAATTTCAAATATTGTCTGTGAAACATCACATCCTGAAGGAAACATGAGATTTTCAAATTACTGATGAGATATAAACTTCATGTAGTCTTCTTTCCCTTAAGTTCCATTTGATGTTAACTATTTAGCACCCCACATAATGAATCACAATTTAGCCACTTAAATACAACTTAATTCCTCCAAGCAGATCCTAATGCTAATTCACTTGTCATGTCACTAAGCTATTAATGCTCTCATGGTACAAACAGATTATTCAGGAGAAAACGTTGAGTGTCATTATTTTCAAGTTAAATATATAAAACTGGTTAGAAAAACACTAACTTTGGGGGATTGCTCCTGAATGTTTTCTACGTGTGTTGCACTCTCTGTTTCTATAGATAAAGGGCATAAATATGACACAATGTCAGTTTTAGGTTTTCATCCAGCTGTTCCTGTAGTAGATACCAAGCACAGGGCAGCTATCAGTCTTAGAATTCTGAAAGAAAAAGCTCTACTGTGCCAATTAAATGTTTAGTATCTTCCAGTGTTCATGTTAACAGAATGTCTTCCATTTGTATTCTTAAGGTGCCTGCCTTGTTTTATCATTTGGGGTATCACCTTTCCTTTTGTCATCATTTTCATATGGGCCTGAATCAACAGGCTTAACATAAACTATCCACCTCTGATACACCAACATGTCTAGTAATTAGTTTACCCTGGCTAAAGTGATCCCTTTTGTTTGATAACTCTGAAGATTTTTGCTCTTACTTTGCTGAGAACAGGAAGCAATCTTGGTGATTCCCACCAGGTTGCTGTGGGTTTAGAAATGCTTAGTAACATGAAGTGATTTCCCTTCTTGTTTCAGGTTCAATGGATCCAAAAGACTTCCTGCGGGAGGCACAGATGATGAAGAGCCTAAGACATCCAAAACTTATCCAGCTTTATGCTGTTTGCACTTTAGAGGATCCAATTTATATTATTACAGAGTTGATGAGACATGGAAGTCTACAAGAATATCTCCAAAGTAAGCTAAATACTTCAGAAAAGGGAAAAATGGTTAAATTTGGCTAGTCCTTTAAGTGTCAGTTTAGCAAGTTGTCTGTAACCTGAAGGATATTTACTGTATGTGTGTCCTGGGAATGAATGTCTTAACATTGAATGGCTCAATTACTATTTAATAGGATATATACTGGTCCTTAAATGGAGGAAGATGTTTATGTAGTGAAGAACAAGATGTTTACAGTAGACATCCAGAGTACTTGTATATAATGTGGGAGTTGTAGAATGGATATTTTGCATGGTTATGCTTCCCAACTAGCTAAGCACTGTCAGTCATGGGTTAATACTTTCTGTTTCACAGAATTTGGGGGCATGTAATACATTTGGGGAAAGAGAATCAAATGCATCCTAGGTTGTTTTCTTTTTTTTTTTCCATTTTGGCAATATTTGACAGCATTGTACTTACAGTATTTAATACCATTGTACTTTTTATTTAGAAACACTTTCACTACCAGGCAACATTATAATTTTCAAATTGAAAAGCAGATATACACTATTATTATTCTTGCATGTGTTTCTTGTAGTCAGAGAACTTAAGGGCATAGTGAAATTTTGATATTTATTGCAAATGAATAATTTAATAAATAATATAATAAGCATTAAAATGAGATGTTCAAAGAAGTGAAGTTAAAGTACAGAGAGAATAATTCATGCCTAAGAAAGAGACTTTTCTGCAATTACTTGAAGAGTCAGAATGAAAATGAAAGAACATACAGAGGTAAAGTGGAGTGAGAACGATAGAAAATATTTCCTAAAGATAAGAGTGTTCTGTGATTTTGGGGTCTCTCATGAAGTTGATAGTAATAAGTTGAAAATGGGGTAAGAACAAAGAACATAATGAGGTCTGCAAAATGCTATTTAAAACAGAAATATTTCTGCCCTCTTGCATAAATATTTCTCACTTGTTAGCAGCTATAAAAAAAGAAATTCAGCTTTGATCCCTTTTACCTTATGGCTAAGACAAGGTATAGGAGTGATGCTGGGTTGTCTTGTGATCTGTTGGGCTCCCAACTGGGCTTATTGTATTCCTTCCTCCAGGCAGGAAGCAATTCAAAGGTGGAAGCATAAAGGTGTACAGGAGAGCAGGTTTTATTTAGAGCAAAACAAATGTCCAGACTCAATAACTTATAAATGACTCAAAGGCAGGGTAGCTAGAGTGCATGAAACAACAGCAGAAGCGTAGGAAGTCTCCAAAGAAAAGCACCTCGCCAAATAAGCCCCTTCCCTCTCCCAACCCTGTCCCACCCATGCCTCCATCAGAGTTGAGCACACACCATCCAGAGGCATCAGGAGTGATGTTTGCATTGGAACCCATTTTTTCCCCTTTCACCATGGGAATACAGGTTAACTATTTTTATTTTCCGTGATTTGCTTTTCTATGTATAGGGATTCCCACCTTCATCTTGCCTTCCTCCCTTTCCATTCTCCACACGACTGTTTCCCCCATAACGCTGCAACAGAAGGATCCTTTAGCAACAGTCACAAATCCAAAATTCTGCTATAAAAATGTATCATGTAATTGGAGGTATAGGTGTAGTATCATATTATCAGATATGTTTAACAGTTTCATTGAGAGTCCTCATTTTATTCAGGAGTAGAGATGAATGCAGCAACATATCTTTACTTGCCAGTATGCTAGTTTCTGGTATATAGTTTATCTATGAGAATATATGTATATTATACAAGTTTAACTCATATCTTTGGTTTGTATTTTGCATGAATGTTGCTTTATATCAGAGAGAATATATGGCATTTGTCCTTTGGAATTCCTTATTTTACTAAACATTATGGTCTCTAGTTGGGACTATTTTGTAAAAGTGGTAGAATTTAATTCTTTTTGATGGCTGGGTAGTGTTCCACAGAGTAGATTTACCACTGTTTTTGTATCCATTCCTCTTTTGATGCACATCTAAGTTGTTTCCATGTCTTCACTGTTGTAGATTATGCTGCTATGTAAATAGGATTGCAGGTCACTTTCTCATATGCTGATTTTACTTCCTTTGGATATATTCCCAGGGATAAGATACCTGAGTAATATGGTAAATAAATTTTCAGTTGTCTTAGCCCTCTCCGTACTGACTTCCATAGTTGCTGCACTAGTCTACGCTCTCACCAGGAACGGAGTATGGTACTTTTTGCCTAAATCCTTGCCAGTAAGTGTTGTTAGTATACTTCCAAATTTAGACCAATCTCACTGGACTTATGTTGAACCTCATTGTGGTTTTTATTTGTATTTTCCTAATACCGAATGAGCTTGAGAGCATTTTTTCATTATTTATTAGCCGTTTGAATTTGTTCCTTTAAGAAATGCCTGCTCATTTCCTTTCCTGTTTCTTTACAAGGTTGCTTGATTTGCTTTCATTGAGTTTCTGAAGCTCTTGTAAATCCTGGATATTAGTGCCCTATCTGTTATGCAATGTTGAAAGATTTTCTCCCACTCTGTTGATTGTCACTTTGCTTTGCTGTTTGTTTGTTTGTTTTGTGGTACACAAACATCTTGGTTTGATATAGTCCCATTTGTTAATTTTGACTGACTTTTTATGTTTTTGGTGTCTTTTCTAAGAAGTCTTTCCCAATTACTATATCTTGGAGAGTGCTTCCTATGTCTTCCTCCAGTAGTTTAATGACTTCTGGGTGCAGATTTAGATCCTTGATCCATTTAGAGATGATTTTTTTTTTCTTATAAGGTGAGAAGTGGGGATCTTTTTTGTTACTTTTGTAGGCTGCTATTCAATTGTCCCATCAGCATTTGTTAAAGAGACCAAAATTTTCTTTGGGTTATATTCATTTCTCTTTTTGAAGATTGGTTGGCTGTACATATGTGGGTTCCCTTCTGGTATTTCTATTCTGTTCCTTTGATCTTCTTCTGTTTTTGTATCAGTATCAGAATGTTTTGATGACCACTGCACTATAGTATGTGTTGAGGTTGAATTGTGATTCCTTCAGCTCTTTTTTTTTTTTTTTTTTAATTCGTCAGGATAGCTTTGGCTATTTGTGATCTTTTGTGTGAGAAAAATGTTGTTGTGATTTTGATTGGGATTGCATTGAATTTTTAGATGATTTTTGGTAATATGGACATTTTGATGATGTTGATTCTACTGTTCCAGAAACATAGTAAATTTGTTCATCATTCAATGTATTCTATTTCTTTTTTTTTTAAGTTTCATAACTATCATCATAAAGATTTTCCACATCTCTGGTTAAGATTATTTCATGTATTTAAGGTTCATTTCCTATATCATGGGACAGTACTTAAAAGTTCTTTCTCAGCCATGGAGTTATTTATGTCTTTAGTTTATATTAATTAATTTTGTGCCCCCTTATCTTGACAAATTGTCTTGTGAGTTCCAATAATTTCTTGATTGACTCTTTTCTCCTGTATATAAAATCATATCATCTGTAAAAAGGGAAAATTTTAGTTCCTCAGCTCTAATTTGAATTCCTTTAATTTGTTTTTCTTGCCTAATAGATCCAGTGAGGACTTCCAATACTATATTGAATAGCAGTGATGAAAGTGGACATCTTTGTCTAGTTTTAGATCTTTGTTATATATATATATTAAAGATTTATTTATTTTTATTGGAAAGTCAGATATACAGAGAGGAGGAGAGACAGTGAGAAAGATCTTCCATCTGATGATTCACTCCCCAAGTGAGCGCCACGGCCGATGCTATGCCCATCCGAAGCCAGGAGTCAGGAGCCTCTTCCGGGTCTCCCACATGGGTGCAGGGTCCCAAATCTTTGATTTGTTGATCTTATGTATTATTCTTTGGTCTCTATTTTTTTTTCCTCCCATATTTTGATTATTACTTTATTTTTTATTAATCCTGGAATATTTTGCTGTTATTTTTCTAGTTCCTTCAGATATATGGTTATTCCATTTTCCTGGGACCTTTCTGGTTTCTTGACATAGGCATTAAATGAAATAAAAATTTCTCTTTTTAAAATTTATTTAGAAATTTTCTTGTTTCACTGCTTTGATTGTGTCCCACAAGTTTTGATATGTTGTATCAATATGATCTTTCCTCTTTACTTTCTTAGTCTTCTTCACCTCTGTGATTGCCCTCATTTCCCAGGGATTTCAGTGTTTTTGGAGTTCCCCAAGAGTTACCTATAACCTCATTAGTTCCTTTATTCATGTTACTAGGCTCTTTTTAAAATTGTTTATGCATTAGTGATTCCTTAAATTTTGTCTCTCCCTTACCTCAGAATAATATACCCAGCTGTTCTCTTACCATCTACATATGAATGTTTTATCCATCTCAGAAAAGGTAGATATACGTTGGCTGGTAGTTCAGCTCTTTAGATCATCTTGGCAGGGAAAGAGGATGACACTAATTGAACTCCGGCTTTTATAGCTTCTGATTAGATGTGACAACCATAACTTGGGTATAAGTGTAAGCAGATACAGTTCTTAGAAGTTCTCGACAGGAGTAAATATTTCTACACAGTCTGAAATTTGAATTAATATGCCCATCAGACGTCTGAGATAGCTTACCCGAAGCTTACTTTTTGGGTTACTTTTGGGATCTTTCTGGAAAGATCTCTGCTACTCTTGCAGTTTCTACTCCTTGGACAATGTCATTTGTATTCATTTCTACTTCTCATATCCCACGAGTCATCAACAAATCTCATTGACTAGCCTTCAAAATATATAAAGAATTTTTGCCTCCTCCCAACGTTCTCTTGGACTTCCAAACCATTGGATTTAACACTGGCCTCACTGGTCCAGCAGTTTTGATTCTTATCCTTTCTAGCATCATTTTACCGCATTAGTTGGGGAGATCCAATTAAAATGCAAATCAATTTGTCTTTCCTCAGATGAAATCCTATCTGAGACTGTCAGTGGTTCTTGCTTCTGAGTCCTGCAAGACTATTACACATCCATTAGCGCTCTGACCTCACTTCCTATGCGACTTTTCCCTAGTTGATTCTGTGTCAACTGTTTAGGACATTTTTCTTTAC